TGTGTGTGTGTGTGTGTCTCGGTGTGTGTCTCTGTTTGTGCGTTTGTGTCTGTGTGTGTGTGTGTGCGTGTCCGTCTGTGTGTCTGTGTTTGTGTTTGTGTTTCCTGTGTCTTTTATCTTAAGGTTTAGGCTTTAGGGCTGTTAGGGGTTTGGGTTTAGGGTTGAGAGTTGAAGGCTGAAGGTTTTAGGTTTTGGGTTTGGGGTTCCGGAACACACAAGAAAAGACACAGGCAACACAAAAAAAAAAGAACAACAGTTGACCCACTTGCCTCTGGGGCATACCGCTTCCCGCAGGGCTTCTTGCTTGAGGCTCGCGAACCCTAACCCTAACTCGACAAGGAGTGGTGTGCAGCAGGGACCGAAGGAGCGAATTCCCAGGCCATGACAGACGCTGCGGGCACTCCTCCGTCGTCTGCCGCAGGTCGTCCAAATAACCTGCGATGAACAGCGGTAATGCTGATGATGTCGCATAAATGATTGATCATCAAAGGGAGCCTTGGGCACAGCCTACAGCATCCTGCTTAGCAGTGTGCAGCACTACTAAAGCTTCTTCGTAAAGGCGGCAGGCGGCATTTATGCATTATCTGTAAGCCTAGGCGCATAGGCGATTGGCATCATCTCCAAACCCCAGGCTCAAACCTGAGAATGCTAAGTAAGACCTAGACAAACACGACCGAAACAAGTACACCCAGAAGCGAAAACCCCTAAAGCCCGCACCGAAGGCCCAGATGTCGTTGAGCTCCTCAACAGTAAACCTCCTTTCCACCGAGGAGTACTTTTCCCTGAATACTTCATGCCTGCCAATGTGACCGATGCCTCAGCAAAGCCGTGTACCATAAAGCTGTGGGACCCTACTATTACTACGTGTCCTCTCGATGCTGCTGAGACAGTCTCTCTATGATCCTCGGCAAGCGCAAGCCGCGCTTCAGGATGCATTGCACCTTGGACAACTTCATCGCCAGTGCGGACGCACACCGCCGAATCCACAAAGACGCCAGTGACGACCTGGGAGCAAGAACACGAAGCACGTTGGTTTTCGCGTTTTGCTCGCACGGCTGGCGGCTGAGTTAGGACAAGCAAGGAACACGAATACCGCACGTACACATGTCACATGCCTCTCAAACCCTTACCTTCCCTTCTCCACTTAGTCTCCCATACACTCCCAGCCTATTGACCTACTCCTCGAAACCTCGAGATGTCCCGAAACATGCAGGATTTACTGAAAAATTGAACCAGGGTTTTTTTCGTGACATTTCGGGGCTCAGCGATGGTCGGCATGTTGGGACACCTTCGAAAGAAGCACCTGCAAAAACACCCCATGTCGAAACATCCAACAAGATTATTTTTTGCTCAGGTCGTCTGACGCAATTTTGCTATTAGTACCGCGAGGCAGATCGATCTTTACACCCCCTGGGCTATGCTATCCCTTCTGCACACTTCTTGCGCGTAAGCCCGCGGCGTTGAACATGCCGACCACGCAGAACCTTAGAAACCAATTGCCGGCTAGACACCAAGACTGTCTCCAGACTGTGACAGAAGGTTTGCGGCAGCACCACTCCGTGGCCAAGGTCGTGTGAGAGTTCTGCCAAGTGCTACCACGAGGGCAGTACTTGTAGAGCATGACAAGGTTTCTGCAAGACATAATTAAATTTTACAGCCGCTTACATCAGGCGTAGCACCCTTATCGTGGTGACTCTGGTGGAACTCATCTTGTCGGGCTGCTGGGTGCAATGCTGAGGTGCAGCCCAAGCCACGCAATGTAGAAGTTGAAAAGTCCAAAATAAAACCAACCGCCAGCCGTCCTGTCGCAGCAGTTCCACGGTTGCTGGACTCCTAACCCCAATTGAACAATGCAGAGAACATGCGGAGGGCTGGAGCAAACACGCTGCAGTTGCTTGAAATCGGGAATTCTGTGTGGCGACCCGCGAAACATCTCCAAATTTTAACCTGTTAAAGACCTACTATTTCCCAAAATTGGCTGCGAAAACATCCAAGCCCAAACAGGCAAACCCCTTTTGCGTGGCACACACAGACACACACGCTGCCTGACATAGTCTCCGTAGTTCATCCAGTCGTTGCCACCACTGACAGCCGACCAGAGTGAGATCATGGTCTCAGGGAGGTTGCCGAACCTGGGAAATGCAAGTTTTGAGTTAAGTTGTGGTCAGCTTTTCCAAATTCTGCCGCACACACTTTGGCTTGGCACGAGTGACTGCGGTGAGCGACCGACAGGACAAGACGACGGTCGATTGCAGCAACCGCACAAGGGGTATAAATCCCCTTAACATCCTTTAGGCCAATACATCAACAACAATTCTAACGGCAGAAGACATCCCTTCTTCATATTCGGGCAACCCTGGACGGTCTTTGTTAGGGAGCGCGATCCGAAAATGCGCGCTGTCGCTTGCACTGAAATCAGCTTCGGGTTCATGCATCCAAGATCAGTCGCCATGTCCAGGCGTTTACACACACACACACACACAAAGGCCCTGGAAAGCAGGCCTGCCGCAAGCACGATGAGATACTATGAGATACTCTGAGCACCTTCTGTTGTCGGCCAACGAGCGGTGCAAAACGCTCGTGAGAAGGCTTCAGGTTGGCTCTGTGATCTCTTGCAGGCTGCTGTGCGTGGGCCCCGGCAGCAAAGCGAATTAAGCCGGGGTGGGGCTCCTCTTCCTAGTCAGATGTTGTGATATTTGATGTTCCTTATCGCGGGGAGGGCGGTTCTCTCTGGCCTTCGCTCTGATCCAGCCAGACGTCACTTCGAACCACTGCCACCTTTTACTGCACCAGGCACGCCACCATCACTGGTGCGCCGAGTCCAACGCCATTGGACGTGCTCTGGAACGGGTGAGCGACTGCGGTCGTGGTCTGCCATGTTGTTTGCAGACTGCTGTGGGGAAACGGCTGCGGGCATGCACTAAGTTTGCATACACATGAAAACAAAATACTGTTGTATCATGCAAACGGAAAGGAGTGGTGGGCATTGGGCATGTTTTGCTTCATGTCCTCCATTAACTCATGGTGCACAGATTGATTAAGGCGATGTAATCTGCCAGCATGTTGCGAAGTTAACTGTCCAGGGACAAGGCGCTGGAACTGCGAGCTTCCCCCAAATTGCTGCCAGATGAAGCTTCTTGCAAGATTTGGAGCAATGCTTTGGCGATACGTTCTCGCCTCTCCCCGGGAGTCTCGGTTGGAGCACTTCTTGATGGTGTGGGCCCGAGCCAGTATCCCTCTAACACTCTAAGAACAAATGCTGGGGAGATCTCGGGCTTGGCAAGACCGGATGTAGACGATGCGTCGGTTCCGTCGGTTTTGCACATCCCAATAAGACCCGGCAAAGTTATACAGGCAGGTTCATCTTGCCACAAAGGCCAGGCGAAAGAGGTGAGCCCACGGGCGAGCTGTGCGTTTGGCGAAAAACCGCAAGCTGACACCTTGAAGTGCTGCAGTGCCAACGCATGGTGGATGATGGTGGGAATGTCCTCGGCCACAATCTGACTCTTCGGCTGGCGCGGCACCTGCGTTTGCCTCGAAGGGTGCGGCAGGGCATGCCGCTGTTAACCAACACGTATGGCACGTGCAGTTTCCATCTGGATCTTCCAGGTCCTCGGCTTCGCCTGGCTGCCATAAGCTGGAAAAAGCAGGTACGCAGACATACGCAGACCGAGCGTCCGAGGTCTATATCAGTCATAATGGCAGCCCTCTTCGTTGGGCAATCAGCTGCAGACATGAGATTGCCCCCCTGTTGAAATTCCTTTGCTGTACCCAGAAACCTTTAGCTTAGAACCAGGGCTCACACACACACACACTCTCTCCCTATGTCTGTCTGTCGCAGCGACGCAACGTCGTGTTTTTCTGCAGAGTCAGTCAGTACCACCCCACCTTTGAGCAGGTACACCTCCCAGACTCTCCCGCACCATCCCCACCCATGACGACCAATTGGCTCTGGCTCCAGAAGGCCAGAACATTGATTGTGTCCACACCTCGTAAGGCTTAAACAACCTGGAGCCCGTCGGACCGTGGTAGGAAGCCTGCTATCAAAGTGCAGAGTCCCCCAATTCATGATGAACCCCGAATCCGACTTTTGTCGCAATCCTCCTCGGCAGAATACCGAAAAAAGACATGGCAAAGCAACAGCAACACGGGTGACCCTGCACTCCAACGGACCGGACTCGTGTGCCCCGGTACTGTCTCAGGCGCCCCTTTGAGACCAGAGAAAGCCCACTTTAGCTCAGGCCAGTGCAGAGTGTTCATGTCCTCCACTTCTTGGATCTGCCAGATTCGTGGCAATGTTTGTGATCTACTTCTCAAAAAGCACTGGAAAATCACAACGCCGCTACCCTCTATCACCGTGTGGTGATGATGATGAGGATGAGGATGATGTTGATGATCATGATGGTGATGAACCCGCACTCTCACTCTCCCGCTCCCGCTGCCTCTCCGTCTCCCTCTCCCCCTCCCTCTCAGTCTTTCTTCTCTCAGGCTCTCTCTAACATTCTCTATATCTCTCTGCCTACAGTATCTGCTGCTACCAACGTCTCCACCCATCTCCCTGTCTGTCTACCAACCACCACAATTACACAGATGGAGAGAAAGAACTACACAATACGAAGTCAAGAGATTCACCTGGACACATAAGAGAAGATATAGCTACTTCTGTGCATGAGCTTCACTTGCTAAGCATCTGTATTTGCTTCGTCCGAGGCAAATTGATGTCAGCAACTTAAGAGGCAAGCTTACCTTGCGGCTAGATGTCAATGCAGCCAGTGATGCACGCGTACAGACAGCGAAGCATGCACCAGCAAGCCTCAACTGTAACAAACAATGCACTTGCGAGCATATACATTCACTCATGTATGCGCGCGGTCATGCAGGCATGCATCCAAAGGCCCGTGCGTGCAGGCGGGGCGAGCAGGATATACGCATACAGGCAGACATATATACAAATCAACACCCATCTATACCCGTGCACACATGTATACATATATATATATATATATATACACCTAAAACATGTATACATGTTACATGTGCACATATGTCCGCAAGCATATGTATGTATGTATGTATATATATATAGGGATAATGTTGTATCCCCTCCCTGGATTTCCTCGCTGTCCTGCAAAACCCCCTCAACCAGTTCACCATTTCACGATTTCACCAATTGATTTGGCCCTATGTTTGAACCCATAAACAGTTCACCAATTGGTTTGGCCCTAACCCATGAACCATTTCGCCAATTCGCTTGGCCCTAACCCATAAACCAAATCACCATTTCACCAATTAGTTTGGCCCCAACCCATAAACCAGTCCACCATTTCACCATTTCACCAATGAGTTTGGCCCTAACCCATAAACCATTTCACCATTTCACCAACTAGTTTGGCCCTAAGAAAATATGGGGGAAATGATTAGTGAAATGGTGAAATGGTTTATGGGTTAGGGCCAAACTAATTGGTGAAATGGTGAACTGGTTTATGGGTTAGGGCCAAGCCAATTGGTGAAATGGTGAAATGGTTCACGGGTTAGGGCCACACCAATTGGTGAAATGGTTTATGGGTTCAGACATGATTTAATTGGAGAGATGGTGAAGTGGTTTCGGGTGCGCAACCACCCAATATGGTTAGTCCTCCTCACCTCATAAGACCAAGGCAACTGGTAAAATGGTGCATGAGGGACATGAAGAGTGGTTTGGGTACCAAACGACTTGAAGGATCAAATCGGCTGGCGAAATGGTGAAAAATGTCTGTTGGTTTAATGGTTTCGGCCGCTAACCGTCATATTGGTAAACTTAATGTTGGAAGGTTCGAAAGACCTGGGTTCATGAACCAGTGTCGTTGCACAATAAACCATACCAGATAAAACTATTTCATCAGTACTTCATCAACACCTAAATCCAAAATTTCGATTGTTCAGGCATTTCAGGAAGACCGACTGATGCTAAGCAAGGACTACTTAGGAGAGTAGATGGTCCTAGGTATCCGGCATTTATCGGTTTTTTTGAGAAATAATGCAGTGTTTTTTGTCAGACTTCGCATATACCCGGGACCATATGCACATTCCCGCGACTTTAGCTGAAAGGCCATGCTGCATCTGACCGTTCCAGTACATGGAGTTTACCAGAGAGAAAGGCAGTATACATATTGAGCGAAAAGGCACTTACGCGTCACTCATCTAGGAATCATACTGTGGAAGATGACGTGGCTTCTATCGAGGTTACAATAGCGCAGTGGGCGTTCCCAACATTGGAATATCAAGCTACGCAGAAAAAGTAAGATAAATTAAGATACGACGGCCAAGACTTAATTGCAAGGGAAAGCAGAATTTGTGTTTACAACTTGGTTAGGTTTCATCACTTGGTGTACATCGACGAATTGGTTGCAATGTTGTCCAAACATCGCTCCAAGGATTTCGATAAGACAAGACTGATAAAAATATGTGTGGTGAGCAAGCAAAATTTGCAGCTTACAAATTGTTAGATTTCCTCGCTTGGTAGGTAGAAAACTCCAAGCAGCGCCATTTCCAATACGTGCGTGAACTCTCTTTCGGGAGGGGCGATGCAGTGTGTTTCACCACTTCTAACACGAGGAATCACGTTCTGGACTAGGACAATGGCTTCTAATGGAGCGTAGACGTTGGCAAGAACACAAACATAGATGCAGCAGGGAGCAGGACTAGCAAAGTCGACACAACATGCACGAGATAAGGCTGCTACGAACTCATTGTAAGGACTTTTGCATCTTACAGACTGCTTATGCTCTCACAAAGCTGACAAGCGACATGAGGCTTTATGGTTCGCAGTCGGCTCTACGTGATGGCTCCTGTATGCAGGTACAAGAAGCAAAGGTTTCGTCACTCAGTATAGAAACAGTGTCAAGCCTAAGAAGCGAGACTGTATGTATTTTGTCCCACAAGAGAAACATTGTACAACGTTGCTAAGCGTCTTGCGTGCAAGTTTCTAGATTTAGTATCGGGCTGTCATTGTACAGAATTAAGGAATGCAACACCCACATGCCCGCATATGCCGGATATACCAGCGTTTAACAGCAAACGCATACGGACACGGGGATATGTTATTGAGAGCTACATGTAGCCAAGACTCCA